GAATCTATATGTAAACATTAGACCTGATGACTAGATGTTACTCAAATACAGGGTGAGTCAGGACTAGAAATTTAGTACTACAGTCTTCCATTCAGAAAAAGACTTCTAGCTTTTGAACCACCTTGGCCACCTATGAAGAATGGGAAACACATTCCTACTGCCTTAACCAGATGCCAAGTTGTAAATCACACAGGCACATATCATTGCTTGCACTTTATTGTTCTGATTTCTCCTTTACACTTCTGTCTCCATGTGACTCTACAAGCAGGTGCTGAAACTGGAACAGGGCTTTTCAATCTCACCTACCAGGTGCTGCATTATCTGAGAAATTACTCTTTGAAATCTAATTGATGAAGTTAAAAAATTTCCCTAGAACAAATATTGATGTGCCATCCTTATTAGTTAGCTGCCAACAGAAGTAGCCATTTTGCAAAAATATAGTCTGTCATTATCAGTAAAAACATACTCCATAAGTACCATCTGATGATGAGCCTCATCTCAAAATCTATCATTTATTCCTGAATTCTGACAAGTTCTTTGGCAGGTGGGAGCAGAGACTGTCACAATTAACCACAGTTAATTAATCTAAAGTATAAGAAGTTGACATTTTTCAGGGTTCATTTATTTTCACCTTTACCTTTGTGAGCTCTCTACTGTTCAAATTGCTTGCAGTATTTGCACCAACACAGAAATTGTTGCACCCAATGGGAATTCACATCCATTTGCAAAATGTGGGCTTTTGCTGTTCACCAGCTCTCACATGAGCAATGCAAACAAAATTCTAGAATTCTGCTTAAAACCATTTACTTCAGTTTTGTGCTAACCCAAACAGTTCATTCACTTAGGCACTTTTGGCAGAAATTAACATGTCAATTTTCGATCTGTGCCACAAATTTCTAGAATTTGAGTGCCATAAACAAAAGACATGAGGAAATAAGTAGTGTCTGAATACCAATACAAATGAAAAAAAAATGCCTTTGAAAGTCAGCTACTGCTAGAGAAAATTTTGTGAAATCATTTATGTCACAAGATAATGATGAAAAAATCAAGGATGACAGAGATGCAAGGCATTTTGGCCACTACTGGAGACTCTGAAAAGCATTGAGTTCTTCTAAAAATATACTTTATGATTGTTGTGTTCCAGAGATTGCATTTGCAAGGAATGCTCACACAGGGTTCAAATGAGAGAACTGCGCAAAATCATCACGTTAGCATGCAGTGTATGTCTAAACGTGAAAGGAAATAATCACAGACCAGAAATAATCACATTAAAAGAAGTTGTCAAAACAAAATAATTGTAATATCTCCATTCATGACACGTTGTGGAAAAAAAACTGTTTGCTGTACCATGTTTTTAATTTCCATTTACTTTTTATAAGAAACAAGTAAAAGTCTGTTCTATTTGAAGTATCAAGGCTAAGATGCAACTAAAATTAGAATGTGAATGCTTTCATTGCTGTATTAATCAGATAGATTAGAAACACAGATATGCAAGAGTGACAGGAAAGAATGAAAATTTCCACACTCCCAACTGCCAGAGACCATCAACTGTTGAAGAAAAAAAAAAAGCGCCACCCACACTCCTTTTGTGAAACCCAAAATTTAGTGCATTTTGAGTTTCAGTATAAAATAAAAACTCAAAACAAGATCAGAGTAACAAAATAAGTGATGATTGCATTCCATTTAAAAATTACATTTCTTTCAAAAAATTACCATAGTCAGTGTTGGAGGTCTTTGACAAAAGAGCCTGCAAAGTCTTACACAGGGAGTAAGGCACTGCATGTGACTGGTACAGATGCAAATGAGCATGACTGAAGTTTCAGTGAAACTAGCTATAAAGAGAATGTGACAAATATTAACTTGCAAAAATATAACTGTTATTATTCAAAAGTTACTAGGAATTGGAAAACTTACAGGTTGCTGTGCTGCTTCGTCTTTCATTAGGTCTTCATAAACCTCCCCACCTTCGTCTTCTCCGTAGACACAATCATACAACTCCTCATCTTCATCAACACCAGTTTCACTGAAAGGAAAATACAATTAAAAATGCTGTGCAGCACAGGCAAATTACCATGAGTTCTGTAAGGGACCACTCCTCATAGGAAAATACTTCTGTAGTAAACTAACAGATTAATTAATAGAACTATTGAACGGCAAAAACCTCATTAAGAGCTGCGTCTTCTTACTGCCTGACATCCCACCACACTGGAATGCAAGGTCTGCTGCCTGCCTCAAGAACAAGTCGGGGAACTGCCTAATAGAACTAGGAAGGACAACTACTTCTCTGAGTGGTTCTTCAGTACTCAAGAACAGGACACCAGAAGCTCTAGTGGCAGTGACTAATGATTTCAAAGAAATCAAAATCAATAAGAACTGCTGCCAAAACATCTGGACAAGGAACTACTTAGAAATGTCATATAAAATCATTACATCTATAGTCAGGACTATATACAGAAACAAAGTGAATTTTTTATTCTCATTAAATATGTACCCTTTAAAAAATGATCAAGAATGTCAGAAGAAAAAAGTAAGTAAATGTTAGAATTTTCAATAGATTTAAGTATTATAAAAATATTTTGAGGAGATTCAACAGATGAAAGAGATTGTTCACTTCCATTTCAAACAGATATCATGCCCCAGGAGAGCTGAAAACTCAAGTGCTCCAGGTTAGTCTTTTTAATTTAATTTCATGTCAACATTTTGGCTTGGCCAGTGATGATGATGTGCTTGCATTTAACACTACCTGCTGTGTCAGATGCAACACAGACACACTCCATTTTACCACTTATGCTCCAGGGAACAAAAGCTGGCAAAAAGGCAGGGTAAGGGTAGAAACATCCAACTACTAGAGCTCTTCTGACAGAAAGCCTTAAATTGATGCTAAATTCCTTAGACACTATTTAAACTCAAGGACAATTAAATTAATTTTAGTCAAATATACCTACTAATTAAGAGAAACTAAAAGTTGTGGGCCATTTTTATCACTGACTGGCATTTTTATTTCTTATTCAGAGAGTACATCTTGAATTCCTTTCTCCACAATTAAGATAGCAGGTAATTATCATATTTCAGCTAATAATATTTGTAATTTTAGCCTAAAGAAAGCTATGAGTCTCAATTTTTTGGTGTGATTTTTTTTTTTAATTAAAGGCTGTCTTCCAGTACTAAACATGTATACCTATTTAAGAACTGATAGAAACATTATTTTCAAACAGTGCTAATACCACCACATCCAAGAGATGCAGACATCTCTAGCCCACTTGGGTCTCAGAGAAGTCTGCAACTCCTGCCTTCTACCCATTCAACTACACAGAGTGAAAAGCAGCTCTAGGAAAGCCAGCTGCAAGAGACAAGGAGTTTTGCAGGGAGAGTGATAAGCTGACCAATACCAACAATGGTGGGGTTTCCCTTCTTTTTAGGTAGTAAAAAACAAATCCATGGTGTGAACAGCAACTAGGTCACCACATGGCAGCAAGTGACATACAATGTGGCCAGGGCCAAGGTGGAGCCAGATGGGCACTACTGAGGTTAGCAACGGGGAACTTTGAGCTTTGGGACAGTGAGCTCTGATCCTAGCACTTATCCAATATGATTCCTAATGGATCTTGAGAGATCTCAGCCATACAATACAAGAGTAGTTCTTTCTGACAGTTCTTTTATGCCCAGCTGTATTCATTTCAGCAGTCTGCAAAACAAAGCTGTAGTCTACCACATAATACTATATAGTATGTTCAATCTTACTTGCACCTCAAAGCCTATGAGAAAATTGGCAATAATTAACAAATCTGCCAACACCCAGGTGGAGGTAAATCACAGAATCACAGAATGTTAGGGGGTCAGAAGGGACCTCTGGAGTCCAACCTCCCTCCTAGAGCAGGTTCATTCATTTGCACTCATACAAAGGATTTTGCTGACTTTAGCGAAAGATCCATTTGAATTACAATTCAAACACACATTTTCTTTGCAAGGTCTAGAAAATTTTCTTGGGTCCCTTACAACTGTTACCCTAACTCTATGAAACCATTCTCATAATGCAGGCAGATCATTTTAAAATGCATTCATCATTTACTTCTGACCAGCACCCCTGATGAGCCATGCCTCCTTACCTATGTAAGTGTATTACAAGCATTCAGTAAGCTTTCATAATTAATTCTTCATGATCAGCATAATGGCTAATATAAAATTTTAAAATCAAATAAATATCCCATTCTCATTAAAACTATGTGTTCTATAACATCAGATCACTAATAACATGCTAATGAAAGCCAAAATCTTTAATTTAACTAAAGGTTCACAACATACTCTATTAAATCAGGAAGTCCTTTGTAGACATCTTCATCATCAATGCTTTCTTCTGTAGGGAAGGGCCTATAGAAAGAAAAATAGCATGAATTATAGACAGCACACTAATCACATAGTAGGTTTCCATTTGTTTTCTAAAATTTTCACACAGATTAGTATAGTTGTTGTACTTTTCCTTCTTTCTCTAATGCACAGTATGCATGCTTTTAGACTTCTGTTTATTACTTCATGATACTCAATATAATTCAAAACCCTATAGGATGGGAATATACATCACCACCAAAACCCATCATAGTCAGGTTTCCAACCAAGAGTATTAATTCTTCACTTTAGCACTGGACATGGCTTACAAGACTGGCTAGGGAATTTTGTCTATGTTTTTAAAAACTCATCCATTTGTGTATAATAAGACTGCTGAATCAGATAATTCAGAATTATGGAAAATTAAGCATGAAATATTTCACCTTCTCTCACAGGCCACAATTATATTTCAAGAGGTTAAGTTTGGTTGAGTTTTTTCGATTTCTCTTTGAAAATGAGAATCTCACTAACATGACAGTCTTGCTCATTTTTAGAAGGGAGACAGAAGGAAAACCCATTTGTGTTGACATAGATTAGTATTGCATCAGCCTGACTTCGAAACCATGTGTCACAATTATCACACTGAGCTGTAGTTCTAACTGCTCATTTGTTCACCCCATGTTTCAGAAGCATGAGAAGTAAATACAGCTCAGGCACATCAGAAGGCATGACATAGGTAGAAGATACCCTTCAGAGCTCCTCAGAGGTCCAGAGCCTTGGGTAGCTGTCCACTGGGCAATGTGGTTTACAACTATAGAAGTTCTTACTGTGGGACACTGCCTATATTGCCTCTAAGAACTTTTCCAAGGAGCATCATGCAAGAGGCATTATTCCCACCATTCACTAGGGCAGTAACATACCTGATTCCTGTCCCAATTGCAATAGGAGTGCGAGAGAGTTTTGAAAGTGTTTCTATCACCTGAAGAAGAAAGAAACGGAAACCATCGTTAGTTGCAGAAGAGAAGTAATAAAATATTATTTTTCTCTAATATTTAATTCTCAGCAACACCATTTAACATCAAATGATATAAACAGACATAAGATCTGGCTGTGCCAAACAGTGAGTGCACTGAAATTCCACAGATTTCCCACGAGCTGGTCTTCAGTGCTTTAAAACAGGGGGATGTGATGGGAACACACCAAGAGAAGAAAAAGGAAATCTCTTTTTTACACATCTTAGCACAAATAAAAGCCAACTTAAATGGATTTAAAACCAAGTCATATATTTCAGAAATTACACGTTCATTTTGCAATTGGACCTGGATGCAACTGTAAACAAATTTTATCCTACAGACTGCACTGAATACTTACTATTGTAGCTCCCGAAAGAAAACGTCGTGTTAATTTTGAGCTTTTTCAAATATCAGCCAGAAGAGGGAGCCAAATACCAAATCTTTTCAGGACTGGCTTGCAAAGGAAAATATTTACTAGCAATTAGAAATGGAAAATAGTTACTAGTAAAATAGCTTTTAAAGTTGCAAATGGGAGCCCATAAACTTTACTTTTTAGAAGATGGCAGAAGTCTGGAAGATCTCATTCTAAGAAAATAACTCCTGCAAGCGCTCAAGGTTCCACAATAAAAGAGGGAAAACACTAGGGAGTGTAGAATACATGTATACAGTCACATACATAGAGTTCCTTTGGTGTCAGCTGTCCTAATACAAGACCAACCTGCACTCTGCCCAGCACTCCTTCTCCCTCACAATTATTTTATCTTATTTTGAGCACTATCAGATTGGCAAGTCTTATTTTATAGACAGACAAAAAGAGCCAAAATGACACCCTGTCTTAATGTCCATACTTCTGATGAGAAGTTTCCCCTGAACTTTCAAGAAGTCAAAAATCCTATTTAGCTGAAGTGAAATTACCAAAGAAGGTTTTTATCAGTAGTATCAAAATTCAGTATAGCAATTACACATTCCATGGCATTTAGGAACAACCTCTATAATTCAAATAGTTTATTTTTTAAGTTCTAATTGCAAGATTAATCTGAGCATAAAACAGAGTTAAAAGCACACCTCTCAAAGGAAGGACAATAACACATTTACACAGAAGGGCAAAGTAAAAACCACAGAGAATAGCCAACAACTACAGAGCTTAAAGTGAAGTTAAAAAGCCTCCAAAGTGAATCAGGTCCCATAGGCAAATGAACAGAATTCAGAATGACCTAAGTTATGTTGCTCCTGTAAAATGAATATTTTGGGTTCATTTAACTGCTGTGAAAATTAATGTCACAGAAGATCTGGTTTTGCCTTACAGAAAAGTCAAAGAATAATAAAAACAAATAAATATGCTATGAACATAATCAAACTTGCAGGCACATTAATTCCACTATGAACAAAAGAACTGCAACACAGCCTAGAATAAGTTTTGGAAATTGTGAATAAAATTTAAGTTAACCATTAAGTTAATTTAAAACTATTTCACTTTAGTCAAAAGATCAAAGGGGGAAAAGACTCCTTTTAAAAGCCTTGCTGTTGCAGGGGAATTCTGGTTTCTGTACCAGACAAGAACCTGCCTCTGCACACCTGTGAAACTCCCCATGCAGGACTGCAGTGGCTGAGGCACCTGAGACAAGACATTGTGGGAAGTTAATACAAAATTCAATAGCTGGCAAAATCAACAGTCCTGACAGATGGGTGAACATTGATTGGTAAAATAACAGGAAAAAAAGTTTAATGATTATCAGAAGGGGGAAATTCTGGTGAATTAAATATCCCTTTCCCTTTTTTTAAATGTTATTTCCCAGCACACAAAGTCTTTTGCAAGCTACTCCACCCAATCAAACCCTTTCCTTAGTGGCAATCTCCCATATAAGTATGGCTTACTCTTTACAGCTAGATCTGGTTGCTCAAAGTAACACAAAAAGATCTGTACCAAAAAGGAAAAAAAAATTAAAAATAATAATAAAAAAAGAATAATTATAGGAAGACAACTAGCAAAGGTTATTATCAAAATGTACCACCAAGCCACAATTTACAGCTATCAAACAAACACACACAAACAAAACCAAGACTTAGAAATTAAGAATAATAGACAAGCTTTTTCAGTAACTTACATGAAACCTCTATTTAAGGTTTAAAAAAAAAAAAAAATAACATGCACAAAAGAGAAAGGACTTATACGACTAGAGAAAACAGAAGATTACTAATAACTTTCACTGCTCTTAGAACAGAAGTCTAGCACTACATGAGGGGAAAATTAACATGCTAGGAAGCCAACAGACAGGTTTCCACCAAAAACTGAACACTGGATAATCCTCTAAAAAAACGGTAATTATCCTAACAGCTGTAAATATCTCAGAGACACCCTGCACTTTCCAGAAGTACATGATAAAGCACAGCCACACTGGCACCACAGATGGGCAGAGATCACTATTCTTCTATTTCAGAACAAAACAATTAAGAACTAAAGACCATTAACTACTGCAGCATATATTTAAGATAAAAAATAAAAAAACTTAAAACAGACATAACTGCCACAGAATAAAAGGTAATGCTTGCCTATTGACCACACAGCTTAAAAGAGAGCTCTGTCAAGAACCCGAATGGTTTCCACTGAGGGATCTTGTTCTTGCTGCTGTGATTTCCTCAGAGAATTCTGAGAAAAGGTCAGGAATATTCACACAAAATCATCATACATGAAACTACCACTTCCAGTCAACACAGTATTTCAACATCACACACGTATTTGCTCCAACATTTAGTGGGGCAAAGAAAGATTATCCTTCCACATGGAAATTTCACTTCTTTGGTTCTGAGCCACTGTAGTGGCAGAATTCTTAGGAGTTCTTCTCTTTCTATATCCACGAGGAAGGTTGCAGTTATGTACGGGCTGATTTGTCAGAAAAACAGGTAGAGTTTCAATAGATATTCATAAAAACAATCAATCTAAACCAAGCAAAAAGTCTAGGTTTTTTTTCAGAACAGTTGTAGTTTGAAGCCCTATACAGTTAACATGAGGGAAGCTATAATCTTGTGCAATTACGACCTCCAAAATTACAGTGCACCGTACACATGAAAATCCGTAACATTCAATGTAATGCTTTTTGTGTCTCATTTTTGCCTTGCTCTCTTGCTTTCAGCAGACCTTTAATCCACATTACCCATTTAACCCTAAATGATTGCCCGGTTCTCTTCCACAGCAAGGACTCAGACAGACATTCCTGTAGCTTGGAATAACGTTAAACTGGATGTTAGTTTAAGTGCAGAAGTAGCATTCCTTGCTTGTACAAAGTCCAGAGCAACAAGGCTGCAATCTGGCACTGCTCTGCAACCACTGTGCAAAAGGCTGCAGGGCCTTTGCAGATATGCTGTTACTAGGAATGGGCAGTGAAAGCTACATACCAAGTAAAGAGTTGCTTTTATGCTCTGACTAGCTACTACACATGAAAAAAGGAACATTTCTACTCTGTAACATCCTGTAACAACTACATCCCTTCATGCTGGAAACCTCAGTAATTCTATGACTTTTGGGGAGCCAACCTGAAATCGGGAGGTGTTAGCAAGAGACTTTCAAGCATAAAAGGAAATCCTACCTGCACCTGCTTCAGTGTAGCTTCTTTGCACTGACTAATGCCATCAGAGGTTAAGCAACTCTTTAGAACTCACATCAAAGCCACACTTGCTCCAAGTTGATGTGGATATTCTAGTCAGCTGTTCAGTATATAGCTAGTTTATGCAAAATACAACATGAAATTCAAATCTACAGCCCTGCAAGAGGAAGTTCTTCTCAGCCTGCATCCCAGCAAGTGGCTCTGCGCCTCCTCCATGTTTTGGGCACAGTTGGCAAGAGCAAGAGTCTTAAACTACACATTAACTTCTTACTTCATTAATTACTCGAACAGCAGATTTTTCTTGGCTTGGTAGTTGCTTTTGTTTCACTTGACTTAACTGTTGTAGGTCAGATTCTCCAGGTTATGTAAGCCCTTTCATCTCCCTTGCTGAAACATTATTTTGTAATTTCCTGCAACTGTACCCTTCCATAAATCACAGCAGATATTCCTATGCATACTTACAGCAGCAGTACACTAGAGGGACTATTTTACTTCTTTCCATAACAGTAGTGTGTCTGAGTTTAAAATGTGCCTTATTAAGTATTTTATTGGGGGTCACTTTTTCATCTTGTTTCTTAAAAATGAGCTTAACAAATCATGGAGCTCAAAAACAAAGTACATTTTAAAAGTATTTTTCCACTTTTAGAAGAAACAAAAGTAAATCATTTTACGACTCACTGTCTCCATAAATTGGCAACATTTCCTTGCTATTGACAGCTACTGTCAAGACTAGACTCATATTTGTAGTCCTGCTGTTTACCTAAACTGAAAATATAAAGTGATCAACAATCTTGATGGCAACAGTTTCAAAGTTAATGCCATTAAAGCCTAGAAAGGCTCACTTGTGAGTTAGATCTTCTAAACAGTTGTTTCCATGTATTTACTTCAATCAGGATATGTTTTTCTATGACACAGTAAAAGTCATGAAGAATTAACAATATTACCTTTCAAGTCTTTTTTTCAAAATCTGGGCATCTAGCTTAGTACTGGAGTGTTGCATTTTATTGAAAACTTAGCTTTACTTCCTCCCCCATTCCCTCCCCTCCCCCCAAACAGATTTATTTAGCAGATACACAGAAACAGATTAGCATAATATAAAAGCACTTATTTGCAGATGAAAATTATTTCCAATACCAATCTACTTTGTGATACATGTTTAAGTACTGAAAGGTAGGGAGTCTTGAGATACATGTGTGCACATATTAATTACCTGGATATACACATACACTGCTCAGAGCTTTGTGCAGATTATGAAATAAAAATACCTAAAGCAAGTAGAAATCCAGTGTTCCTAGAGAAAACATACACTCTGCATCAGTAAGTCCCTTATGACTCCAATTCCAATTGTTCCATATCCAGGATAC